ATTTATTGATTGGCCAAATCATCATGTCCATCTTCACCAAACTGTAGTACAAGCAGCATGTGACTGAGGGCGGCCCTGTGCAGGACCACATTCAAGTTCCTGGTGTGGGGCTGGAGGGGGAGCTCACAGTGCTTGCCTAGCATGCAGGATGCCCTGGCCTCAGTCCCCAACAGAAGCGGGTGTGTGGGGGGGGGCCAGGAAAGAAGACAGGAGCAGGGAGGCAGGAAGTCAAAGAAAGTTCCCTGTTCATCAGAAGTTCCACATCTCCAAAGAAGTGGGGTTATCATGCTAAAGAATTTGAAAATATGATGGCTGACAACTCGCATGTCCCACATGGCTGCAGCTGCAAGGTCAAACACATCCCTAAGCACAGCCCACTGGACAAACTGTGGGCCGGGCACTCACCAGGGCTTCCATTATGGTCCCCTCCTTACTAGTGCCCACCAATAAATCTTACTTCCTGCCTAAAAATAAAGAGGTACAACACCTCACTATGTCCTCCTGCCTTCCCATTCCTGCTTTAACCTTCTCCATAGTGCAGCTATCGCCATCTGACATATGTTCACTTGTGCTCCTCCACTAGAACATGAACTTTAGGGGAGCAGGGACTTTTTTATTTTGCTTAGTGTTGTATCCCCAGACCCAGCTTCACACATATTAGCTGTTCAATAAATGTTGAACAAATTGGTGAATGGATAATTGGTTTGTCCTACTTTCTCTCTGGGGCCTACCACTTCCCTCTCCAACTATAACCATGTCTTCCCATTGGCTTAACAGCTAAGGGATCAGATGACCATATATTTTCTATCAGTTCCAGAAGTGAACTTCACCAGAGTGGCAGTGGTTAGTTCTCCATCTCCGATTCTCCAGCTACTGTCATTGACATCCATTCTGCAAATCCTGCTCCCCTTCTGTGGTACCATCTCTTAACCTCCCACAGCAATCTCACCTTCCTCTGAATCCAGAGAACCGGATGCATGGATCTCTCACCTAGACTGTAGCACTTTTTGCCTTGTGCCGATAATGTAATTTTTCTAAATGTAATTGCAGTAAGGCCAGTGGTAGACAACGGTTAGTATTTCCTGAAATACCTAGGCCTTCATTTATTTGCCTTATCCTAGGAGTTTCTCTATTCCACACTCTGGAAAAGTTCAAGATTTGAATGTGGGGTGTCTGGCTCTGTTGCCTTCTTGTGCTTCCACACACAGATCAGCAATGTGTACGGGCTGCTGTTCTCACAACCTAATGCAGAGAACACAGTGGCCCTGAGGGGTGCAGGGAATCCAAATTATACAGGTACCACATCTCTGTCGTTCACGCTGCTGACTGGCAAATGAGCAATGGTCTGTAGAAGCAGCAGGTGCAGAAGTGACTCCCGCCAGATGGTGCTTAACAAAAGATCCATGTGTGATACAAGGAGAGCTTCCATTAACCCATCCATGACAAGGAAAGTGGGGGAGGGTTGCCTCCCCAGTCTTTTAGGGCTTCTACCTTAAATGCTCTCCAACACCTGTCATGGATGCAGCATTCCTGATTATAAATGGCAGGCCAAAAGAAAACATAGAAAGGAAGATGCTGAGTGAGTTGCGTTCACTCACACCCTCTAGGATGGTCCTGAGCATCTCAGATCTTAAAGGTGTGACCAGGTGCTTCCTCTCTCTTGCCAGAGACCTACTAAGTAGTCTCCACTGGCACAGCTCCACCACATCTATGCTGTGGGATGAGGTGAGCTATGTAAACCTGCTGAACTGGTTTCCTCATCTCCACAAAGAGGGGATGATTCCACCGAGCTCACAGCACCCTTATGGAACCAAATGAAATCACTTGTGTGAAAAGCTCAGTCCCTGACCATGCTATGTAGCACTGCCTTTTCCTTTCAGGAGACGTCCTGCCCTGTTGCCTCTGCTGGACCAGCCTCATATAAGCTACTGGAGACTTGCTTGACTCCAGGGATCAGGCCATGCCTGAACTGAGGACTTGGCCATAGCAACGCTATACCAGGTGAAAGATTCTGGTGAAGGGCAGCAAAAGGAAAGAGCTGAAGGGTACCCCAAGGCTGCATGCACCCTTGACCGGGTTCTTAGTGACAAAGTTATGTGGGGGTAAGGTAGAGAAAACTCTTGGTAACCACTCTTCTCTGCAGTTTGATCAGGCTCTAGATTCAGCTATTCAAATCACAGATTAACCCTTTGCCATCTTTTCTTCCTTTGTTTTTTAAAACCACTTTTTCTTTCACCATGGAGCTCATCCTAAGAAAAGGGAAGCGTCATCTATGATTAGCCAGACATGGAAACACACAAAGCCTTCTGTTTTAAAGACTACTCTGGGATTAATGGCCTTACAGATGGCCTCTTCGGATCAGAAAATAGAAAAGGAATTACAGTAACGCACGAATACTGAACATGGGCCATGTGCTCCGGCTGCCAAGCCTGGGAGGTGACGGTGCAATGAGGGGTTCACAAAGAGGAAACTAGGCCTCAGAGAGGAAGGGCCTGATCGAGGAAACAGCAAGTGACGGTCTGGAGTCACTCACACCAGGTCCAGGGGGCTGATCCTCCTTTTCCCACCGGAGGCGGGAGGAGGACGAGCGCCAGACTGGGAGGGGCTCGCGGCAGCGACTCCTCCCGCAGCGCCACGCGGTCTAGGGCTTTGCTGCTACCCCGACCCAGGCGCCCCGAACCCTCTCCGGTGCCCCGAGGACTCGCAGGCTACAATCTCGACGTGGGTCCCCGCACAAGGCCGCCAGGGTGCCAGGAGGTCGGTGCCCAGCGGGTCAACGATCGACCTCCGCAGAGCCTCACGCCGAGCCGCCGCGCGCCCGCTTCGTCAGCACCTTAAAAGTCGCTTGGCTGGGGCTCGGTTTTGTGGGGGTCACGGACGGCGGCGGCGGTCAGGCCTGGCCGGACCAGCGAGGGGACTACCGCCCCTTCCCCTCCCCCTCGTCGCCACCTTTCCGCTTCGCGCTTGCGCGCACACCACAGAATTCGCCACGTCCGCAGCCCCGCCCTCGCGAGCCACGCGGGGATCCCCGGTGACGTAATCACCCTTCTCGCTCGCATTCCCGCGCTCTCCAGAAAAAACGCAAAAGTGGTGACGTGTCCGGGGCGCCAGTGCGGCTGCGCAGGAGAGGTCGCCAACTGAACGTCCTGCGGCGCCGCCTGGTGGAAGAAAAGCCGTCAACGACCGGAAGTCGTTGTGCTTGCGGGAGGAGAACGTGACTTACATCATCTCGCGGCGGCGAGCGGGTGGCTGCCTCGTGACCAACCCCCATCCTGGTACCTCCAGCTCCTCTTTCTTCTGCTCCCAGCATAGTGTAGCTTAATTTCAGACACGTGTTTTCGAACTTATGGAAATACTGTAATGTACATTATAGAAAATTTGAGAAGAGGAAAAGATGGGAAGAAAATATCAACATCCCCAATCTTTAACCATCTTTTCTCCCAGTTTTTTTTTACACAAGTGTGGACAACAGTAGTATTAAGTACAAAGATTCCGAAAAATGGACAGAAAGCACTGACTTTACTATTCGTATATTTACGTGTTAAGTAACTTCCTCAGGGTCACTCTTAGTAAAACGGTGGCCTGGGGTTTCAAACCTACGCTTTAAGATCTGAACTTTAAAATGCAGGGATAGAGGAAGACACTGAAGTGATGCTAGGGGGAAAAACAGGCAGGAAATATACAGGGCTACGGAATCCACTTTCCTCTTTAGGAACCCATGAGCTGGAAGTAGTTAAAAGAAATTAAGCTGGAGACATCGTCCTAGAGCAGCTTCTTGGATAGAGTGGCTTTGAAACATTCAGCCAGGCATGGTGGACATGCTTGTAATCCCAGCACAGGGATGCTGAGGAAAGAGGATCACCAGTTCGGGGCTAGTCAGGGCTACACAGCAAAACCTTGTTTTAAAAAAATGACAGCGATAGATTGGGGGAGGGGAGAGGAAAGAAGAAATCTGTCTTGAAACATTTCTAGTGCCCTTGCTTCATGCGGGGTCCTCAAGTTCCTGACCTTGTCAGTGAAAGGTGGAAGGGAAGTTATGTATGGATCAGGTCAGGCATTGACGTTATTACTCAGTGCATTGTGTAGTCCAGGATTTTGTGCATGACTTGGGAACAACTGAAGATAAATATGCAGAACCATGGGCCCCACCTTAGAACTTCTGAAACAGAACATGAGTTTCTACTAGATCCGTAGGTGATTCCTACAAGTTAAATTTTGTGTTATTGTAAAGCAAGTCATCTTGTGAATGCCATACTTCCAGGCACCTCAGCTGTTCTGTGAATGAAGCCCCAGAGACAGAAATGGGCCACGTAGCCCCTGGCAACAAGACTAAGGCCCAGCTCCACCCTATTGTGGTTGGCCAGCCCTATTTCAGTATTCATGAACAGTCATTCATTTTGTTTTTGCCTAAGCTGGATAGAGCTAGGTTTCTATCACTTGCAATTCAAAGAAAACCAAAAGCCTAATTCATACGGGTTTTTTTGCTTCTTGGCGCTCTAGGACAGTGAACTATAAGACATTTATGTCAAAGCAACATGATATAAGAAGAAATAATATGTACTATGGAGTAAATTTTTTTTTGAGTAAACATTTTAATGCTGTTTCCAGCAAGATATATAACCTCGGAGAAGCCATTTATTTAACTATAAATGAAGATGTAATGCCTAAACTCAAAATAATGAAGATTCAATGGGAAAAAAAGATGAACTGAATAATGTAAGTGCCTGGCACATGGTAGACATGTAGAAATGTTAATTACCTTTGTGACATTCTGTAATTATGAACCCAGAAATAGGAAAGAGGTTTTACTAGCTGTAAACTTTTTGAAAAATAAAGATGGAAATAAATATAAAGCTAATAAGCAAAATAATAATAAAGCTAATAAACAATTACAAGCATTAGCTTCAAATGTTAATAATCCCTCGACCACCCAGACCTCTTTTTCAAGTAAATTTCCCAAAAGTTTTATAATTTTATAATCAGGCCAGCATGAACTATCATTTGGAAAAACTAGTGACACTGTGCTTTATTTGAGAACAGAATAAAGAGCATGGCCAGAGCAAGGATGGTCCTTTACATTCTGTCCTAACCAGAGAATTATTAACTTTCCAACACTATTAGTGTAAGGCTGAGTGCTGCTAACTTCTGAAAGAATTAGAAAAACGCTGAAATAAACTTTAAAGCAAGTGAGCCAGATTTTTCTTCCTTTTAAAACTCTAGCCAGAAATCCTACCCAATTTATAATGAAGACTGTATACAGCAGCACTGAAAAGGCTATTTATAAGAATTTTTCCTCAATAAAACCCACTTGAATTCTCTGAGAAATGGAATCTTAGCTAAGAACAATTCACTAAGGAATAGGACCATCTGGTATTTGAAGTGGTCAGGGTTGGGGATGTGCAAATTTAGCAGCAAAATACTCTTGTCTCAAGGGAAAGTGATAGTGGTCAGAGGGGCCAGTTCCAGTGGCTGGTCCAGGGGGGGCCTCTGGTCTTGGTAGTCTGCCACATGCCCGTTCCGGTGGTGACCGTACTCAAATTTGATCCGAAGCTCACCAATCTTGGATTGGGGAAGGATATCAGGGATCCACTCAATGATGAAAGGCGTTGGCTCCTTTTGATCTGGGGAAGTATTGCCTAAAGAAGGGCAGGGTGGAAAGGGAATGTTAATTAGTACATTCCAGGAAGGTCATGGGCATTCCTAATAACAGGAAGTGTTTTGAATTGGACCAGAGTGTCCTTGGCCTTGATTATCAGGCTGAGTAGGTTTTACATATTCAGTGTGATTGGAACATAAAATTCCCTGATCATTACGAAATTAATATATAGTGCAGAGTGATGATGTACACCTGTAATCCTAGCACTCTAGGAAGCTGAGGCAGGAGGACTGCAAGTTCAAGCCCAGGCTGAGCAACTCAGACAGACTCTGTCTCAAAAAAAAAAATAAGAAAGGCTGGGGGAATCTAGCTCAGTATGAAGGTCCTGGGTCACAAAAGAAAAGATATAATGGGCCAGGGATTTAGCTCAGTGGTTCCACCGCCTGCCTTGCAAGCTCAAGGGCCCAAGTTCGATCCCTGGTACCAAAAAAAAAAAGATATATAATATTTAATGACTTTAGATCTTTCTTACTGATGTTGATGGTTAGAATAACAGTTTGATGGGAGATATGAAATGAAAAAAATTTAGATTCAGTAATTACTGAAGAATTTCAGGAAAAAAGTAAAATTTAAAGATATGTAAATAGGAAAAAAAGGATGGAGGAGAAAAACACTAATTATGTATATAGTATACTTTCTTCTCAGTATCACTTCTGATTTCATATATACATATATATATTTAAACGTCACTACCTATTCTCCCTCCATTTTATTCCCACGTCACCTTCTCTAAATCCCTACCTCCTACTTTGTTTTGTTTTGGTTTTGGTAACGGGGATCAAACTCCGGACCTTGCGCTTGCCAGGCAGGCGGTTGGAACCACTGAGCTACATCCCCAGCCCCATCCACTTCTTTTGGTTGTTTCCTTCTCCCAGTGACCAAGACTATTTACATGATGAGAAACAAAGCTTCTGCCCACCCCAGACTAACAATCTGTGTGGACCGGTGTGTTTCAGTCTGTTTGGTTTTTTCTAGCCACAGAATATAAATGTTAGGCAACATCTAGTTCTTGTCAAAAACATAGCTTCCACTTCAAATTATATCTAGCTGAGAACCCTCCATGGAGCAGCCACTAACTTTTCACTTAAATATCAATGAAAATGCTGAAGACTCATGAGAATGTCCACTTCACTGGCAGCACCTGGCAGTAAAGGTGCTTTAAAGATGGAGATGGATGGTGAGGAAAGAAGTCTACCCAGGTGGCTGCTATCACATGGCCCAGCTTTCCTTCACAAAGGGAGGCTGCATGGAGAAAAGTAGGAAGACACCTTGTCCCTTACATGTTGCTCTGGCTAGAACTTGCACAAATTAGAAAATAAACAGCACTTCAATCCTCGGCACCAAAAAAAAAAAAAAAAGAGAAAATAAACAGCATGATTTGCTGCCTTTTAGAAAGTATAACCCACATCCTTCCATCCATTCAGACGTGTCATGTACATGCACCAACTCCCCATGATGAATGTGATCATTGTGTACTGCAAATATGCATTAATAAACATAAAAAATTGAAAAATATATACATTACCTTAAAAAAATATGAAGACAGTTATGCACAGGAAACAATCCACAGAAAACAAAAGACCAATTATATCACTTATAATAAATATA